TGTTACAAACAGAAACATATCGACCCTCTGTCTTGTCTCCTTCTAGGACGACTGAGTGGGGCTGAGGGGCAAATGCCCATAAAGGCTAGAGGAGACCATGGTAGGAGCTGAGGCTGAGGAAGCAGCCGGTGACTCACAGCCTCCTGACTGCCCACTGGTGTCAGTGCTGTCTCGCACCTGGAAGGCATGCACTGAGTAGACTGACCTGCTTTGATGGGGAACCAGATGTCTGGCCGGCAATTCCCAATATGCTTTCTCTTACCCCTGCTCCATCGGACCTCAGGGGGCCTGGCTTGCGGTGCTTCCTATTTTGAGTTCAGTTGGTAGGAACTGAGGGAAGTTACTGAAGCATCAAAGGAGCTCAGCATGGGCACTGGCAGAGAGATCGGGAGAACCAGTGTTCTCAATGTCAGAGAGACCCTCACCTCTCTCCTCTGCTTCCTTTCAGTTGGCTTAGGTGGCTAGTTGTCAACTGGGCATTTAGGATAGGATCTAACAGAGAAGTAGCTGGTGACCAATATCACAGGATCCAATTAGCTTTGAAGCCAGTGCTCCCTCTCCCATGCTAGGCGTTTCTCCAGGGATGTTGCTGTGCCTTGGAGAATCAGAAGCCCCAAAGGAGTTGGCACCGTCCCTAGGCTGTATGACAGTGCTGGTTACGCATTAATAAGTTTTGCTTATCTGTTTTATTAAATCAAGAACCCTCTTTTCTCAAATCGGGAAATGAATACCCTGAGCAGCTCCAGTCACTCCACCAAATGAGTGGGCACCCTGGTCTCTCTATCTTGTCTTTTCTCTCCACAGGCTCTGTTTCTTATAGGGTCCCTGAAGGGAAGGATCTCCTCACAATCCTCTTGCAGACATGGTTGAAGATGTCTGCATTGTAATCATGAAGCCATGTGTGCCTCGGGCAGCACCCCTCGTCCCGTACTTACACTGGCACTTGGATTGGGGTCTGCTCCCATAGAGGCAAGGAGCAGCCAGCTGTGAGCAGTAGCCAGGGGTGGCTATGGCATTGCCCTCCCTTCTGGGCTGGTGCGGCTGGCTATCTTTCACGCAGAGTTACGTAAGCTTGAGTCAATTGGGGCTCAGAGCAGTTCATTGTGGGCTATTTTTAAGCTGCAACCCATCACAGCAGAGGGGTCACTGCACCAGCGGCTTGCAGGGAAGGTTGTTTAAACATCTGTTATTTAAATTTCTCTGTGCCTTACAGCTCACAAGCCATATCCTCTCGGCACTGTGGCTTCTGCCTTCCATATCCCAGATTACTAGTGGATTATCTTGCCTCACCCTCTCTCTGTTCCCTGAAGCTGGGGTTCTTGTCTCTGGCTGTCCTCCTCTGGGGGTGTGCAGGTGAGACAGGGAGAAGGAGGTGTCTATTCCTTTACGACATGGCCTTGTCTCCATAAGATGGGGGAACCCTGGCCAGGATAAGCAGGGCAGCCAATGATCTGGGCTTTGGAGTCCCTTGGACTCTTCCAGAGAGGAGTGAAGGGGACACAAGTAGAAAATTGAGGCCCCTCTCAATTTCCCATCAGCATCGAGACAGGGTTGGCTCACAAGAACCGTTAGCGTCTTTTCAGAAGCCTTCCTTTGTCTAGGCTCTCCTTTGCTAGATGGAATGGCCTCCCTACACAGCTCTAATACTACAGATCTGCAGCCTCAGAAGCACATAAGCTGATGTACAAGGCCGAGAGACAAAGCTCCAGGGAAATAAGCCTCACTTTCTGATCCACTGTTAAGTATATGACTGTACGCTGGGAGGCCATCGAAAGGCGCCTCTGATCTTAAGTTTTTTGAGATGTCTAGAGCATTCCCAGGGCACAGAGTACTGAAGGCAGGTATACTGGAAGAGGGCAGAAGCAGGGATTTTACAGAGCTAGCTGCCTCCGAAGAATACAAGGGAGCTCAAAATAGGGTCTGAACCAGGCTGACCTAGGAGCCATAGAACTCCTGGGAGAGCATAAGCCTACCTTGATGCCTTTTCTGTCACTTGTCCACATTCCCTAGGGCCTATTGGGTGACAGGGATTCATTCGGCTTGATCCTCAGGGGAGAAAGGTTTCTCCCAGGGTGACTGGGTCTTCTTCCCAAGAGTTAGGAGTCTTCCACACTGCCCATTTGGAAGGTGAGGGGAACGTGAGAGAGAAGGCAAGCTGGGCATTTGTCTTTACAGGGGAGACATCCTGTGGACTCACCTTCAAACCATATTCCTTAGCTCCTCCTTGCCACCTCTTCTACACCCTCCACCCTCTACTCAGGGCCTTCAGCCTGGGGAATGGGCTTAGCCTGGGGGAGGGGATTTCAGGTTACCATGGCAACACATTGGCCCTCCTCACTTCCCAGAATCAGAAATAGAATTGGACGCCCTTCTTCCTGGAGAGACTATTTAAAAAACAAGGGGGGTGGGGGGAGACAACGACGACACAGGGGCACTATCCCCAGGAGCTAAGCAAAAGGGGCCTAGCCTGGAAGCTTCTTCACTCTGCCCCCTCAGCTGGATGAGATAGGAATGGGTTCCAGACAGTCAAGGATTCTAATGACAGACGATGTAACCTGGCCACATAGACTATGATGTGGCTGGCCCATATTCAGTACCATCAAGTTCCTAGGAGGGTGCTGGCTTAGTATCCCCCATAGAGAACAAAACCTTTCCCAAACCTGAGCTACTTGCTAAGCTATCAGGAGGGAAGCAGGTACGAGAGACACACAGTTTTAAGTGTGGGGCTTGGGGATGCAGCTTCCAAAGGAAAGGCCTATTGGCTCTCTCCCTGAAAGGTTCATTACTGCATAGCCTCCGTGTGGCACCCAGTGGTAGCAGCACCTCATGTTCCTACAGTATGGGTCCAGAGTCAGGAAACCTAACTTCCATGACTCAACTGTAGGATTGCTTCATGGGCCATAATTAAACTTTATTACAGTGTAATAAAGACACTGTAGTATGGTTTTGAGACAGGGTTTCTCTATGTAACTGTAGCTGTCCTGGAACTCAACCTGTAGAAAAGGCTGGCCTTGAACTCACAGAGATCTGCCTGCCTCTGCCTCCTGAGTGCTGGAATTAAAAGTGTGTGCCGTCACCACCCAGGCTAGCCACTGTTATAGTTCTAAAGTATGTTTGCTTCATAAGGAGGAAGGGCTTGCTTTCTGGGCCAGACCCTTTAGCTGGCTCTGCTTTCTCTTTCTCTAGGAGGCTTCAGGACAGTTGTTCAGAAAGGAGCCCAGTCTTGGAAAGTCAGGGGTAGGTGAGTGTGTGCTATACCTCACTTCTGAATGAGGTTGAGAATGAGCTCAGTCAAGAAAGTTGAGCAGGGGGCCGGGGGCAGGGTTTCTCCTAGGACATTCCACTTCATTTCCCTGTTCTTCCCAGGTACAGTTCAACTTTGAGATTACATAGATATTAGAGGCTGGTGCCAGCATCTTTGTCATGTAAAACCAAGGAGCTTGCTCAGATCAGAAATTAATGAATAGTGTTTTGCAAGGATGTGTGTGTTTGAGAGAGCCTGCAGACCCATGGGCTCGCCCACCTTCCCCAGCCATAGCACAGTGATGAGCAATTTGGCTCCTTGGCATCCAAGCTGCCTAGTCCCTATGTTAACTGAAGAGGGAGGGTGGTACAAGGGGCCTGGAATGTGGCTGAGTCAGGCTTTGCCCAGCAGCCAATCAAAAAGGTGCAGATGCAGCACGGTGGCAGCCTTAGTCCCTGGTCACATAGCCTCGCACCCCACAGCCAACTGTAAACACTATTTTTAACCTCTGTGAAAACATGTTGCTTCTGAGGAGGACAAGCCTACAGCTGCATTCTCCACAAACCTGTTTCCTGGGTGGAAAGACTGAGGGCCCTGAGGGGATCATAGCCCTGGAAGCCGGAGGAAGGAGGGTTTGACTGCCTAAGGCAGAACTTCCAGAAGTCATCTGGTGTGAATGACCTGTCCCCTAGCTGCAGAGCTGTGCTGACCCTCAGGGTAGCCCTGGGTCTAAGGGGATGATTCAGGTAGATTTGATTCCTCCCTATCCCAGTTTTCCCATTAAAGAAAGTGTGTGGGGAGGAGAGTTACTGATCAAGCCTAAAAGCTTCTCTTTTTTAAAAAAAAACAAAAAACAAAAAAAACAAAACATGTCTACTCATATCAAGGGCTTTGTCTAGCTTGTCTTTGCTATACATACAGTACTGTTCTGAGCACACACACTGTGTGTTCAGTCTCATACTTGCCATGTTCCCATTGTGAAGCTGGCCCTATTCCTACCAGATCCTCACCATTCCCCCATCTTGTAACTGCCAATGGTTAACACTATGGCTACTGCAGCCTAGCCCTGTGCCTAGCAATATGCTGGCATTAGGGCCAGGATGAAACTGACACAATGTGACAAGAGCTAGAACATTCCAACTTGAAGATTCTGAGTAGAGGCTCCACCTCCACCACCCCCATACCCACTCCTCCAAGATACTGGCCCTGGGCTTCAGGGACATGTGGCTCTGGGGAGGGGGCTCTATGAGGCACAAGCAGAGGAAAACCATCTGGAGCAGCAGAGACTGCCAAGGAGCTGCTGTCCCTGGAGCGGAAGCAGGGAACACAGGGGAGGGGAGCCTGGGGCTGAGCCTGGGCCCCTCACCCTCTTCTGTCTCTTAGACTAAAGTAGTAAGAGGCTTTGCTCTAGCAAAGGGCCCAGTGTCAGGGAAACCCTCGGTCTCCACTGACTATTCTTCTCCCTTGACCTTACCTTGACCCCCTCTGGGACACTGCCCTCACTGAGGGGGCTGGCCTGGGGTAGAGTGGTCACTGGTTGATAAAGGAGGGAAAAAGCTGGCCTACAGAAGTCTAACTTTATTGAGACCTCTGGGTTTCTCCCTCCACCTCCTGAAGTCTTAAGGGAAGCCCCCCTCTTCAGGGGGTGGGGCCCCTGTTATCTCATACTTTGTCACTCTCCAGGTCACTGGGGGCAGTGATTGTGTGGGGTCACCATGGCAATGAAGTGGGGGCAGGGCACCTAGGGCATGGAGCAGGACTATGGAAGACACCAAGAAGGTGGGGGGCCCTGATCCATCGGGCCCCCAGGGCCATCCACTGCCTGGCAGCCAGCAGCTAAGGGGTGGTTTCAAAGGGTCCCAGGGACCATGGATGAACCCCAGATCCCTCTACTCAAAGCAAGGGCTGTCACTATCCACTGGGGCCATCGCTGATATGGCCTGCAGCTCAACCTCCCAGGCTCCCGCCACTCAGCCCACGCTCCAACTACTCCATAATTCTCCTCAGGTCAGCTCCCAGTGTGACTATGCACGGGCCTCCCAGGACACCCCGAGATTCTCTTCTAACCCATTCCCAAACCCCACTGTGGGAACCCAAGAGCATCTCCTCATGGATGATGGGACTCAGACTCTGCCAATGTGCACAGACAACAACAGCATCGATGACAAAGCCCAGTACAGATTCAACCTCTCCCAGATTCAGTTACAGATTGGGAGGGAAAGCAAGGCTCCAGCTAAAGTCCTGGTAGGCTGGGGCAAAGGAACCTGTAACATTGGCCAGATGGCCTCTGGGGGCTCCGGGAAGAGTCGATGGCTACCCTACTTCCTCTCAGGAGAGAGTACTGTAGTTGAAGGTCAAGCGCCTCTTCTGACTATGGCTCAGGCTCCAGTCCAAGATCAGAGGCAAGACAAGGGTCCATGTCTGGCTCAGTCTCCTACCCTAAACAAGACGACTTCTTCGCCGTCATTGCCTCTTCCAACCTCAATTCCGGCTTCTGTGGCAGCCATCAATGGATTACCAGCACCTGCTGCAGTTAAACCTTACACCTATAGTCGCAGCTACCTGACTAATACCACTGCAGCCACTAAAGACCCGCCTCTTGATCTCAAGAACGGGGGCAACCAATTGTCTGTTCTCTCAGATCCTTCCAAAAAGGACAAAGTATATTTTTTCCTTAAGGAGACTCCTCCCACTCCAATACCTAGTCCAGCAGAATTTCCACCCAAAAGCCAGGACCAAGAAATTGCCAAGATGCAGGTGCCAATCAAGCAATCTGAGGACCCTGCAAAGAACTGTCTAGTCCATGCCTCCAGGCTAGATACCTTACCACCAGCCTCAGAGCCTCTAGACACTTTCAAGACACAGGAGAATAGCCACAAGGTTTGCGGCTCTCAGCCAGACAAGCAGCCCCCCAATGCCTGTAACAACAACAACTGCTCTAATGTGCCACTGCCAGCCCTTCAACAAGGAGTCTACAACAAGCAGTCCCTACCCCAGACTCCCAGAGGAGTCATACAGAGTCCCATTTCTAGTGCCCCGACCTGCCAGCTCCAGGATGCCGTAGAAGACCATGTGCTGGTGTTTGATATGGCCACAGGCAACACCAGGATGGGATTGCTGTGCCATGATCCCATGGGCTCACGAGCAGTGCTTGTAGGTCTCACACCCAGCCACCCATCAACTCATGAAAATGCTCTGTCTGCTTGGTCGTTACCCAGGCCAATTCTCTCCCCTAACAGTGATCACCCCAGCCTCTGGTCTACCACAGCTGTGCTGTCTAGCCCTGTACCCTCCAGCCTCTCATCTGGAAGTTACCGAGAGGTAGCTCTGGTTCCCAAGGAGGCCAGACACAACCTAGAGCCAAGGAATTCCCCCGGCACCGAAAGCCCTATCAGGATGCTTGCCAGACCCATTGTACCGGGAACACCCATCCAATATAGTGAAAAAATACCAACCCAAGTTCCTGATCCTAGCTGGCCCAAATCTGATGCTGAAAAGACAGACGCTGACCACACCATCTGGAAGCTGGACAGTCCCACGCTCCAGCCTAGGAAATTGCAGTGGATAAAGCCAGATCCTGTTTCAACAGCTGATATCCAGGTAGTGTCCAGATCTCCACTCCAGGAGAAAGCAGGCAGCAATAACCAGCAAGCAGTTCACCCTAGTGGCCCTCAGGCTGAAGGTACTGGACAAGTCTTCCTCACTGGTCAGAGTTTCCTCAATGGGCAGAACCTCCTCGCTAGACAGCCACCTGTAGCTGAGCAAGGCTCCTTATCTGGTCAGCTCCCCTCCACCAAGCAGCCCCCGCTTACCTGTACACCTCATCCCAATGAACAGACCCCTCTTCCCAGACAACTTTCCCTCTCTAGACATGTACCCATCACAATGAAGCCCACCACTACCAAAGAGCTCCCCTTCACCTCTGGGGAGTGCGTCCAGACCCCTACTCAAGAGAGTGAACCCTTATGTAATTCTACACACATTGGAATACTTCGAGTACCCCTGGCTCCTGAGGAGGCCTGTATTTATGTGAACAGAGATAAAGTTGGAAATAATAGGGCTCAAAGACCCATTGTACACCAGCCCCAATCCTGGCAACCTAGCGATCCCCACAGGGGCCAGCAGGAACAACTTTCTCTGATCACGTTTACTGGTTGTAAGGATTTGCCCATATCGATGGTGGGCACTGAGTCCACGAATGGACATCAGTTCAAGATGACCACTGAGGACATTACACGTGCATCAGTGGTTGCTCACCTGGGTCTTCTCCGTGGGAACTGCTATGAGTTAGTATCTACTATGGATACACTACCGGTGCAGTCAGCAGTGCTTTGTAACCGCTCCTCCAGCCCCTACCAGAAAATGGCGGCCATCGTGATTGATACTGGCACAGGATTTACTAAATGTGGACTGGCTCAAGAGAACCATGTCCTCAGTGTGGTACCCTCGCAAGTCCAGATGCTGCAACACCCACCCCAGGGCCAGCCCCAATATGTGGTACCCGAACACCAAGAGGGCTCCTACTCAGTACTGAACCGAGGAGTAGTCTCTGACTGGGATGCTCTAGAGGTGCTGTGGCAACACCTGTTCTACTGCAAACTGAGAGTGCAGCCTGAGGAGATGGCCGTGCTTGTGGCTGACTCCCCCATCTCACCACGTACCAACAGAGAGAAGGTGGCCGAAATACTCTTTGAGCGTTTCCACGTGCCAGCTATGCAGACAGTTCATCAGGCTCTATTAACGCTCTATGCTTATGGGCGTACCACTGGGCTGGTTGTGGGAAGCGGCCATGGGACCTCCTATGTGGCACCCATCATCACTGGGGACCTGGCTCCACTTGACACCTACCGGCTGGATGTGGCTGGTGCTGACCTCACTGATTACCTGGCTCAGCTTCTCATGTCAGGTTGCCACTCGCCACCCAAGGGAGGGATTGTCAGACAGATTAAAGAGGCCTGCTGTTATGTGGCTATGGATACAGCAACTGAGATGGCCCGAAACCAGTCCCAGGTTCAGGTGGACTTTGTGCTCCCAGATAAGCATGTTATCACACTGGGCTCTGAGCGCTTCTGCTGCCCCGAGGCTCTCTTTCAACCCAATCTGCTAGGTCTCAACCAGCTAGGCCTTCCACAGCTGGCCCTGCTAAGCATCAGCCGGCTGGAAGTCAAGCAGCAGGAGCAGTTGCTGGCCAATGTGGTGCTGGAAGGTGGCAGCACCCTGATAAATGGTTTCCCTGAGCGTCTGAGACAGGAGCTGGGTCCTGGTGCCACTGTGTTGGGCTCTCCCCACCGTGCAGTTGCTGCCTGGCTTGGGGGTTCCATTATGGCATGCCGGGACTCCTTCCAAAGCCTGTGGCTCAGTCGCAGGGAATATGAAGAGGAAGGCCCATGGGCTATCTACAAATATCAGCTGTGAGCACATAAACTTCTGGTTCTGCTTGCTTTAAGTACTGTTGCATGGTTTAGGTGGAGGGTGGTATGGAAAATGTAAGACTCCAGACACGGGTCAATGAGGGGGATCCTGGTTCTCCCAAGGCATACCTAACCTCAACACTCAAGAACCTCATAGGCCCTGGCAATTTGCCTTTTCCAGAGACCCCCAGAACCCCTTGGTTGTCATTGTCTCCAATCTGGTTTGACCTTTACTGCACCCCAAGGGCAACCACAAAAAATGGCTGCTGTGGGGTTTTGCCCTGTTGCCCTGACGACAAGTGCAATTACCCTTGATTGCCAGCTTGTTGCCATGGTAATTTCAAACATAATGTAATAACCCACACAGCCTAGAGTGAGTCACGAGGTGGGGGGGTAGGGAGGGGCAGCCCCTTCCCCTAGCACCAGAGGGAAGGATTGCTTCCGGCTTCCTTCGTGGGCCTTCTTCTGGGGGCTGAGGTCAGCAATATGGATAGTAGCTTAGCAATTCCAAAGATGTCTGGGGATATGGGGCATTGCTCCCAAGTGAGGGTCCCTGTCAGAGCCTATGCTTCTTGAGGAAGCACCTAGTAAATAACATATGGACCTCTTAGACTCTAAACCCTGGAGGATGCTTTAGCTGGGTTATCAGGGGGCTTCAAAATAAGAGTGCATGGGAGTACTGCCTTTGGTACCAGGGTAGGAAGTAGAACAGTTAAATAGATCCCAGATGGAAAGCACACTAGAGCTGGGCTATTGAGGCTCCAGCCTACTCTGTAGGCTCTGTGGATGTTGAAGTTCACATCTTATCCTGCCTCTTATTTTGGCTCTCTGACCTTCTACCTTTGGTGGAAGCTAGAACTGTAAACTCTGGGTTCCCTTCTTCCTAGACCCTGTTAGCTCCTGAATGCTTGGTGGCCAGAGTTCTCCTTAGGAGGACTCTTGCAGAGGCCATCAATAATGTCAAGACTTCGTTTTTTGTTTTTGTTTTTAAATCCCTGTGTCTAAAGGATAGCTAGAAGCCATGTCCCTTCACCCAGTCTGGCTTTGAATAGAGAAAATGAGAATAAAGCTTGGGTTGATTCAGTGTATGGCCTGGAAAAACTAAAAAGATAAAGTTAGGCTGGTCTGGCTGGGCAGTGGTGGCACAAGCCTTTAATCTCAGCATTTAGGAGGCAGAGGCAGCTGGATCTCTGTGAGTTCAAGGCCAGCCTGGTCTACAGAGTAAGAGTTCCAGGACAGCCAGGGCTACACAGAGAAACCCTTTCTGAAAACAACCCAATCCCACCAAATATTACCATACCCTTCCTCTCTCTCTCTCTCTCTCTCTCTCTCTCTCTCTCTCTCTCTCTCTCTGTCTCTCTCTCTCTCTCTCTGTGTGTGTGTGTGTGTGTGTGTGTGTGTGTGTCTGTGTCTGTGTCTGTGTCTGTGTCTGTGTCTTTGTTTGCATGTATAAAAAAGCCAGAGGCCAACCTTGTGTTGTTTGTTCCTCAGGCACTAGTTGTTTTTCAAACAGAATTCCTCACTGGTCTGGAATTCACTTCTTAGGCTAACGGAGAGTCAGCAAACCCCACATATCCACCTGACCATTACAAACACTCATCATCATGCCTGTTTTTTGTTTGTTTTTTCAAGACAGGGTTTCTCTATGTAGCCTTGGTTGTCCTAGAACTCACTCTGTCAACCAGGCTGGCCTTGAACTTACAGTGATCCATCTGCCTCTGCCTCCTGAGTGCTGGGATTAAAGGCATGCACCACTACTGCCTGTTTTTTTGTTTTTTTGTTTTGTTTTTGTTTGGGGGGGGTGTTTTTGTCTTTTAAAAAAACAAAAACATTGGTTCTGTGGATGAAATTCGGGTCCCCATGCTTACATAGCAAGGTCTTATTATTCTTTGCCTAGAGGGCAGCTGGAGGCTGCTTGAAGCCAAAACCTTGGAGCTGGTCCTATCTTGTCTGTGTCTCCCTGGAAAGCTGAGGGGTAAGCTGTGCCTTTAGGACCCCCTCCACAAGTGACAAAAACTCGTCTATCTTCATACACATCTGAAAGCAAGGGGATGCCCTGAAGTGGAGCTTGGAAATTGTTGATACTATAAACTCATCCTAGGCCTGGTATACCCTGATCGTGATCCAGACCTTTCTCTGTCCTGCTCTTCCAGCCTTACTCAGCCTCCAGCCAATCTCAAGCTTTGTGTCAGACAGGAAGGGAGGGGAACCACAGCTCTAGGGACCAGTTGCTGCTTCCATGCACATATGCCAGCAAACACGCCTGGGTGCACACAGAGCACAGACACACGTGCCCCTGGGCATCGCTGCATACACTGTGCTGTTCCCATCTCCCTTGGAATAAGCTAGCACACACATTCACGTGTATGCATATACCCTGCCACGTGCTGTCTCCCACGTGCACACGGTGTGCACAGGACCAAGAAGAAGTGGAGGACTGCCAGCAGCAAGCAAAGCTCTAGGGAACCACTCCTTCCACTAATTCTAAAGCCATAATCCAGCTTCTTGGCCCCATTCTTGGATAGATTATGATCCTCAAGAAAGATAGAAAAGGTGTATGAGGTATGTCAGTTCTGCAAGCCACGTCATGGCTACACCACAAACTCAGAGGCCCATTGTTTCAGGAATAATAGAAAAGATTGAGTGCAAGGATTTTCTTTCATTCTGCAAACGTTAGTTGAGCATTGTGAGATTAGACATAGGCTCTGTCAAGCTTGCCAAAAGGTTCCTACCTGGTACTGGGATGGGTGTTAATGGCCAAGACACTTCATACACAGGGACCCAGATACAATGATGATATGGCCTAGAGGAACTGACCAGAGGCAGGAAAAGATGAGAAGAACTCAGCAACCCCTCTGGAAGAGGTTATCCAGAAACCCTGAGGCAATTTCTCTGACAATCTTCTGGCTCCAGCCCCAACACTTGGTGGGTCCCATCTGTCCTCAGGTATGCATAGTGATACAAGTAGGCTTGCTCAACCTGTGACCCTGTTCTCAGGATGGCTGAGCCATGCAGATCACTAGAAGGGTAAGACGGGTTGGAGCCCAGGTCCAGACAATGGAAAACCTAAATGTGGCCTTTATTTATTGTCTCAGGATAGTCCTCAGGACACGAGGGCAGTGGGATGGGCCTTTGTCCACCTGCCTCCTTGGCAAAGGACAGAAATGTGGTCAAAGACTTCATTCAAAATTCCTAGCAGCTCCATGAGCCCATAACGTAGCCCAGTTCACCTGGGTCATGTTGCTTAGGATGTACTTAAGGATTATTACACAGAGAAGAAAGCAGACCCCATGTTACATCATACGTGACTTTTATAGTTTGGGAGATTCAGAACCATACAGACGGGGTTGACTGAGCCAGTCACACAATTGGTAATTTAGTTGGGAAAGAGTTTGGCCTCGCAGGAGTTGGAGGTAGGATGGTCTGAGGGCCTCATTGTCTATCTTCGGCATTCCCAAATTGATCACAATTGCACACATACCTATCCCTGTGTGTTTATTCCTGTCTAGGAGGTGCTCCAGGGACTGCCCAGGTGCTTCTAAGTAGGTCCAGCCCTTTGGATCGGGTTTGGGGAACTGGGCAGGACCCTGGTCTCTTGGAAACTACTTCTAGCCAAGAGACTCCTGTGCAGCTCCAGGACTCAGGTTTTTCTCCAAGTCTCCACTCCTTACTCCTTACTTTGGGATTAGGAAGGGCCCCTTCGCCTCCTGTTGCTAGGTTTTGAGTCTGATGGCCTAAGGGAGCCTAGCAGGTGTTTGCCACCAACCTGCATGCGTCCTCCCTCAAGTGGGATTCCAGTCTCCGGGTCTGCCAGGATGGGGGCGGGCCGGGCAAGGAGGCCCCGCCCCCAGCCCGCCCCCGGCCCGGGGTGCGAATCCGCTGCCAGAGAGCGACTGGCGATGCTGGAGGTTCTGGAGTCGAAGCGGCTGCAGCTGGCGCCGCGTCTGCCCCGCGTGCCCGGAGCGGATTCTGCTGGCCGCCCCCGGAGCCCTGCTGAGCGGGTTATCGCTTCCTGCCTGTGACCGACCAGCGTTGCAGGTGCGGAGCAGGGAGGGCTGGGCCGGTGGAGAGGGCTCCTCCTGGATGCACGTTGGGGGGCCTTGGGAGATTGTTTCCCTGGTTAAAGAATCTCCGCGCAGGGTGCGCGCGATCGCCGCGAGGACTCTGGGGGTCCCAAGCAGGGGCACAGCGCACGGTTTCTGCAGATGTGAGGTGGGGTGGCGTGCGGGGTTGGGCTAAAGTTCCCCATTACCTCTGACAGCTTGGGAGGGTCCCAGAGAAAGCCTCTGCAGCTCCTAATTGTAAAAAACATAAACCCTCGAAGATTCGTGGTGCCCTTTATAGGGGTAAAGGGCCAAGGACCGAGAGGTCCATTCTCACTCCCGGAGCAGTCTTCAGCCCCCCCCTCAACTGCCCCTGGGGGCCCCCTCCCTCCGGTTTGGCAGTCACTAATTTCCATGACAACGGAGAGTTCTTTATGGGCGACAATCCGGAGGGGGCTGGGCGGGGCTGCTGCGGGGCTGGGGGAGGAGGTTCTAAACCCGAGTGGACTATTGGCCCCTAAGCTAAGTTCAGGCTTCCGAGCTTTCTGAGGGTCTTTTGTCGTGTTGGGGGGAGGGCTGTGCACTGACACACGTGCGAGGTGGGGGTGCGGGGCGCACATGTTTCTGCTGGGAGGTGCGGGGCTTGGTGCTCACACGTGTGCCTCCCGCATGTGTGTTGCTGTGCCAGCGGGGGCGAGCCAGCAGCACTGGGGAAGGGGGTCAGAGTGGTATCATGGTGAAGAGCAGGGACTCTGCCTGGAGTAGCAGGGGACAATTAAAGCATTAGCCTCTGTCGTTTTTCAGCTTGTATTGCTTGACAGGAGACCCTGGGCTCTTGAGCCCCAGCCACATGAAAGGCTGCCAACTGCTCCCCGACCCCAAATCTGCTGTAGCATGTTCCTTCCTAGAGAATAGGCCCCCCTTTTCCTCACCAAAAGCTTCTACCTGGTCTATACGACTCTAGTAGATCTTTTGCACACCAGCCTCAAAACACAGGCTCAGGCTTTGGTGACCCCAGGACCACCTTTGCAGAAGTAGGCTGGCTTCCCCTCCCCCTCTGAGTTGATTACTGGCAGATTCAGTGACTTCTGAACCTCAGTTTCCTAACTTGGAAATTAGTATCTCCATCCCCTTCAGTGCCAGGATGGGACAGGGGTCTCCCTTTTTTTTCCTCATTTAGTGTGGATCTCCAGGTGCCCTACCCTGGCTTTATAGATATGTACTGCAGGCCTTTCTCTGTGTCTTCATTCCATGGTGGCTACCAATTAGCAGGCTAGTGGCAGTCCTCTGCTCTGAGAGGGAAGATCTCTGTTCCGGGAAACTGAGATCTGGGGGGTTTTGGTGTGTCTTTGTCATCCTGTTTCTGGCTTGCTCATGGTACTGTTTTGGCTGCTGCTTTTGGCCATCCTGAGATCTGTCCATGACTGAGGACCGGATGAAGCTAAGCTGGAAGAAGGGCCCTGGGAACCCAAGGCCTGGAGAGTTCAGCTGATTGAGGTGGAGATTGCTGGGGACCCTGGGTAAGGCTGGGCCAGCCTAGAAGGCTTCCAAAGGGAATTAGGCAGGTTTCTGGGCTTCATTTCTATCCTGCAATGCTCGTCTTTTCAACTTTTGGACCTCTTCGCCTAAGCTGCTATCAGGACAGGGGACTGACTGCCTGGGGGACTGCAACAGCTGGCCTCTTCTCCACCAAGAGGCTCCTAGGAGCTGCTCTGTTTTTTGTTTTTTGTTTTTTGTTTTTTGTTTTTTTTAGTGGGCCTCCTGTGCCACGTACACTGTATGTCTAGGGGGATACTAAAGAGTCTTGAAAGCCAAATACCAAGGGTAGCTCCTGGCCCAGGGGATCCGAGCACCAGGCCTTGGAGGGTTTAGACTGCTGCTGGGTATTCTGAATCTTCTTCAGAATTTTTTTTTTTTTGCCTCCTTCTCTCTTGTGACTATATCCCTTTTACTCTGCTGCCTCTTTTCCGTCTTCCAACGGATTCACTGTGTCTCTGCACCTTTCTTTACTAAAGTCTCTAATACCCCCACCTCCTCTTTCTTTATGGAGACCAGGGTCACAGAACCCCTGGGGAAGGAGCCAGGCCAAAATGTCAGTTTGGGAAGAGGGACCTTTGCTAATACCTACCCTTTACTCCTCCCCTTGTTTTAAAACTTCCATCACCATGGCAACCTTTTACTCCAGTGCCTTCCTCCAACCAAAGGGATGCAGGGCCTCCAGTGGCTTCAAAGATTGGGACCCCAGGTTCCAAGGCCAGTGACAATTGGCTCTTGGCCTTGCCTGCATGTGGAGAGCTGACTATTCTGAAAATAGCAGTGGACTGCATGCTCACTTCTAAAAGACTGTGAGGTTGGGGGTTAGCAGGGGCTCCTTCATACTCCTAACACAGGTAGAAAAGAGTCAGCACCAGGAGCTATGATGGTGGCTCAGCTTGTTGCCCACCCAGGACTGTATGATATCCAGTCTCTTAAGGTAACTGGACAGAAGGCTTGAAGCTTGACTCTATCTCTTGTTACCACAAATACTGGAAGGAGGTCGCTACCTCCCCTAGGCTTGTGGCTGTGAGCTAGACAGGATTTGGGTTGGGGCGTGTCCATTTGCAGTAGAAAAGTCAGTCCTAATTGCTAAGAGAGGAGAAGAGGGGAGGGAAGAGAAGAGGGTGCCTGCGGGCTGGTATTCACAGCTGCCACTAAATTGGGAGGTGTTGCCTACAGTCAGGAGTCAGCGGGAGGCCTCCTGGGCCCTTCTGGCCTCTCTGCAAGCTCTAGAGTCCCGCATGGCAGATGCCAGGGAAACAGTAAACTTCATTTATGGATATGAAAGGTGAGACCTGGGCCGGGCTGACCCTGGTGGAAGAAACCCTGAAATCTGGTCTTTTGGCCTCCCATTTTGATTGGGTTTCCTCTGACTTAGACTTGCCTGAAAATCCAATAGAACTCCAATAAAGGGTCCAATAGGCACACTTTATTACTAGGGCACCAAATAAAGAAAAGCTTCCTCAGGGTTGCCTGAAACCTAAATCACTGAGCCCAGTAGACAAGGTCCAGAAGCAAACAGGAGTGAGTGCTAAACTGAAAAGCTTCCAGAGTTTTCTGGAGTGGAGGGCATTGGTAGCGTCTTGTTCTGCACTGCTCTTGTGCTCCCTTTGGGTAGCCCAGGTATAAGGTTTATTTCCTTTGCAGAGAAGGAAAGGAATTCTATCTCTAGAAAAGCAGCTGCCATGGGGCTCCTGTGCCATACCTGGGCTAATGTGGACATGACCAGATTCTCTGGTGTTGGAAAGAAAACTTTTACTGGGTGTTAAATTTGGGGCCATGAGGATGAGAAATGCCAGTCTCCTTCTCCTTGGCTTCCCACCCTTCTTCAAGCTTTGGGGGTGGTCCTTTTTTTTGCTGAGAGGTACCAAGGGGCTTGGTATATACAATCTACAGCCTCTGTGGGGTAGCAGTGGGTAGTAGATGGTGAAATAAAACAGGAGTAGAGAGGATCAGAGTACTGATTGGAAACATGCTTTCTTTTCTCTTGACCCGAAAGATTTAGGTGTATAAGTGAATTCAATTAGACTGTTGGGGAGGCATAGTAATTGGGTGACATCTGGGTAGCCGAGATAGCGGGGAGTGGTGGCAAAGTAGATCTGTCCCTGTCTCATTATTGAGTCCTGTAGGACATGGCTGTAGGCTGTCAGGACTGTGGGCTTTCCATTGGTAGAGACAGACCCTGACACCAGCTCAGACCCCTTGGCATGAATGTACATGTACAGCCAAAAACTGGCACCAGGATCAGAGACAGGCATACACAAAACCTCCCACCTACACCATACTGGCAGAGGTGAGAGCTGTTGGCCTGGGGAGGGAGGCAGAGCATAGAGAAGGTGTCTCAGAAAAGGCCATTTGCATCTGGCCTTGGAGCATCAGGCTTGTTTAAGACAACTTGTTACATAGACAACCTTATGATTGCAGAATTCGTATTGAAAGAACACGCAGCTCTGGTCCTGATTCTTTGCCTGTGCCGAGGCTGTTTCACAGGGCAGCCCAGGCTCTTACCAATGCCTACACTTCCTGCCATGGAGTAGACATACTTGAGCTGGCGAATCACCTGTTGTCGGACATTTAGGTAGTCGCTGATTCCTTTTTAATGTTATAAATAACTCTGTGGTGACAAATAGAATTCCCACGGGAGGCTTTGGGGGAAGGGTATTAGCATTAGAGGGGACAGCATAACAAAGCCACAGAACTAGGAATGAATGGTCCCTGACCAGTTGTTCTGGGAAACCTGCAAACCAAGGTACCACCCTCTTGCTCAGTGAATGGCCCTCAGATTCTAGCCTGGGAGGGTAACCTTCCCCTACCCCACCCCACCCCTGGGGGAAAAAAATGTCCGTAGCGTACCTGACGACTGATGCAGGCCTCTCCCTCCAGATGTGGAGATGGGTGGCTGGCAGTGGTGGTTGGCTGTGCCTCTGCTCCCAGCTGCAACAATGAGATGCAGGAGGAGGGATTTTGGACTTAGTGGCAAAGACACACAGCCGACATCTTCAAAGCCTCTCTCGTTTGCCTCTGTCGTATTTTGCTAGATGGCTTAAGCTCTGACTCCTTCTCACTGATGAAATGTGTGTATTCCCCAAGCTCAAGCAAGCTGGGTGAAGGAGTTATGGAATTTGATCCCTAATGTTGAGGACACATTTGAGGGGGGCCTCCAGGGAGGGCTGTGATCCTTGGGAATAGTGTAGCTGGCTTCTGCCTTGGAGGAAGTGATTGGCATCCGGACTACCCATAGGGTTTGTCTGGGGCCCCCAGCTCGCAGAGTCCTGTTTGTTAAGGAGGACTGACACTGTAAGCGCCTTCAAAAAGGAAAATATTTAGGTGCTCAAGGCCTAGCCCAGCTCTTTCCACTTCAAGCACTTGCAGAGGCGACAGAGGCAACAGAGGTGACAGAGGCAGAGCAGTTTCAGTGTGGCCTAAGTGTAGAGCTTGCTATAACCACAGGCTGGAACAAAACAGACTTTAGGGAGGCAGACTCTGAGGTTAGATCTGTAGGAAGGTGCAGCCATCTATCTCTGAACAAGGACATTGGGTACCTTTCCCTTTGGATGCAAGGTCCAACCATTCAGCACTACAATTTAGGCTTGATCTGTAAAGGACAGAGTGGAGGCGGGGCTCTGTGCTCCAGGTGTAGGGTTCCTGGCGTCTAAATGAGCCAGCAGTAACTGGACCAAGCTAGCAGTAACTGGACCGAGCAAGCCTCACCTGGCCGCACTCTGGCCGCACTTGAGCGCTAGGCAGGCTTGACTTACTCTTCTGAACTGTCACCCCTGCATGCCTTCTGGCAAAGCCTTCTGCTCCCAGCCCCCATCCTAACGCTGCTTTTTCCCTACAAGAAGGACCGTGTCCCTCTAGGCATACCACATACAACATGTCTGAACTCGATATTTACTAAATCCATCATACTAATGGTAATAAAAATTCTAAGACAGCATCAGAGCGTGGCAGCACATCCCTGTAATACCAGTATTCAGGATAGAGGCAGGGAGACTCAGAGACCAAGGCAAGCCTCAGTTATATAGTGAGTTTGAGGCCAGCTTGAGCTACGTGAGACACTGTTTCAAAAAATAAATAAAAGATAGAAATTTACACTTTCAATTCCTTGCCCTAAAGAGAACTGGTATTTCCTTTAATGCCCTAGAAAAGTACACACACACACACACACACACACACACACACACACACACAAATAAATAATGTTCGGTATTTATTCGTTTTCTTGTGTGCATGTACATGGTGTGTGTGAGCATTCATGCCTGTGCATACTCAGAAACCAGAAGAAAAGCAGCGGTGTTCTCTGCCACTCTCCACTGATTCCTTTGAGAGGAATCTCTCCCTGAACCCGTGGCTTGCATTTTCTTGGTTAAACCAGAAGTTACAAGCCCCAGCAGTTCTCTCTCTGCCCACCCTAGAAGTTAGGGTTTCAGGCATGTGCAGGATATGTGGCTTCTTATATGGGTACTGGGATTCAAACTCTGGTTCTTATAATTGTGCAGCAAGCTCTCTTAAGTGCTGAATCATCTCTCCGTATCCCTGCAAGTCCTTGTTTGTTTGTTTGTTTGTTTGTTTGTTTGTTTGTTTTTGAGACAGGGTTTCTCCGTGTAGCTCTGGCAGTCCTTGAACACTCTCTGTAAACCAGGCTGGCCTTGAACTCAGATATCCACCTGCTTCTGTCTCCCAAATGCTGGAATTAAAGCTGTGCTCAGCCTGCATATGTGGCCCAGCCTGCATGTACATATTTAGTGAGATATAAAGGTAGTGGGGGGGATGGGGGCTGGAGAAATGGCTCTTCCAGAGGACCTGGGTTCAATTCCCAGCACCCATGTGGTAGCTCACAACTGTGAGAAACTCCAAGATCTGACACCCTCACACAGACATGCATGCTGGCAAAACACCAATACACATAAAATAAAAATGATAAAATTTTAAAAAGATATAAAGTACATTCCTTTATAACTACCATTCAGGTTTAGAAATGGGTCTTCTAGAAGCCCCCATGTGTCACCCTGTCTTGTCCGTTAGGAACAATTATGTGAGTCTTTGAACGTTCTTTCTGCTTTTCTGAGCAGTGTTACTTCTGTGCTTGAATCCCCCAGCAGTATGGTGAGTTCTGCCCGTTTTGAGATCTGTATCAAAAGACTCACACTACATGTATTCTTTCCTGTTTCTGTCAACACTGCTTTTCGCAAGATACACTGTTTGGCTGAGTAGAACCATAGCTCTCTCATTTCCTTTGCAGCATAGCATTCTATTATATGACTACGCCACAGTACATCCTGCTGGGGGTAGATATTTGGGCTCGTTCCAGCTTTTAGCAATTATGGATATAGCAATTATGAGCATTCTTACCCAAGTGTCCTGAGGCATAAATGTATGCCTGCCTCTCTCTCTCCCGCCCTCTCTTTGATGGGCTCTCTTTATGTTGCCCGAGTTGGCCTGGAACTCCTGGGGGACACTTGGCTCAAATGCATGCATTTCTATGGAGCAAATATTTAAAGTACATAGGGGTGGGCTTGAGAAATTGTGCAGTGGTTAAAAGCACTGGCTGCACCTTTAGATGGCCTGGGTTCAGTTCCCAGCACCAAAACAACAGCTCATAACTGTACAACTGCAGTTCCAGGGGATCCAACCCCCTCTTCCCACTTCTATAGATACTAGGCACACATAAGGTGCATAGGTATGCATGCAGGCCAAACAGCTATACACATGAAAATAAATGACTGTACCTGGGCATTGGTGACATATGCGTTTAATCCCAGCACCCAGAAGGCAGAGGTAGGCTGATCTCTCTGAGTTTGAGACCAATCTGGTTTATAGAGCTAGTTCCAGGACAGCCAAGTTACACAGTGAAACCCTGCCTCAAAACACCAAACAAACCAACAAACAAATAAATAATCTTAAAAAATAAAAGAAGTACACAGAGTATATTTAGTTGACAAAACTGGCCCTATCCTGTGTCTTCCGTTCAGACAGTCTCCTGTAGCCTGGACTAACCTTTAACTCACCAAGTAGCCAGGCTTCCTTGAAC